GAAATCATAAGTCACAAGGAGTGGATGCATCTGCGCCACTGAGAACGATTTTGAGCCATGTCACCAATTGTTTCCAACCATAGATTTTTACCGTCCCGAGGACCCCAGCCTGGAAGTCTACACCTTCCTACGTGGCTTAGACCAACTGTTGTGGATTTCATTGACTGATGCCAAGTTTTTGTTTGACCGCCGCTAGCTTTTTTCCAGCCTGACCCTATATCCGCTAACATTGCTCGTCGAGGGAGGCGATGGCTTGGCATACGTAACACATGTCCTAACCATCTCAGTCTTTGTAGCTTCACGACTTCGTCGATTGATTTCCCCTGTTTACCTAGAACTCTACGCCTAACCTCCATGTTGCTCACCTTATTATGCCACTTTACACGGGAAATAGAACGCAGGCACCTATGATCAAAGACAGCTAGTCTTTTCATGTCTTCCACTCTCAGTGGCCAGGTCTCACAACCATAAAGGAGGACGGAGCGGACTGATGAGCAGTACACCCGCCCTTTGGTCGATAGTCGAACATCTCGTCTACGCCAGAGTCGGCGTAAACTAACAAATGCGAAACGAGCCCCTTGTATTCGTGCTGAGATTTCGTCAGAGATCAACCCGTTGGGGCTGATGGTACTTCCCAAATAAGTGAAGCGGTCAACGTGCTCTACCACTTCACTTCCTATTTTTAAACTAGGCGTCGATGTAGTCCAGTCCTGTAACATCATCTTGCATTTGGCGGGAGCGAATCGCATGCCAAACATTCGTAGATTGCGGCTCAAGGTGTTTAGAAGACTCTGCATTTCGTCAGCGTCTTCGCCTAGAAGGACTATATCGTCTGCATATTCCAAGTCAACGAGATTATTCCCGGTAGCAAGTCAATCCCTGAGTCGCTGAAGTCACCTAGGGTTAAGTCCATTAACACATCTATGATGAAGTTGAATAGAAAAGGAGATAATGGGCATCCTTGACGGACACCACTGGTCGTCATCAGTTCAGATGACAGCTCGCCGTAAGCCCTCACCTGGCTGTATGAGTACGAGTAGAGTGCCTTAATCAGTGCAATATATTTTCTCGGAATTCCCTTTACAGCCAAGCATCTCCAGAGAACTTCCCGATCGACAGAGTCGAATGCTGCCTTTAGGTCAAGAAATATAATGACTGTTGGACGCCGGTAGGAATGCCTATGTTCTAGAATCTGTCGGAGGGTGAAGATATGATCAATACACCCTCTTCCTGGTCTAAAGCCTGCCTGGCTCTCTCGTGTTTGTGCTTCCCGAGCACCACTCAGTCTACGCATGATTATTGAGCCTAAGACTTTAGATACTATATTAGTCAAGCTAATCCCTCTGTGATTATCACAGGAAGACTTGTCTCCCTTCTTGTATATGGGGATAATCAGTGACTTACACCAACCCGATGGGACTTCTTCTGATTCCCAGACGCTGCCTAGTACCTCAGTTAATCCGGACAGTAAGCTGTCTCCACCGTACTTAAATACCTCTGGAGTCATTCCATCAGGTCCCGCTGCTTTGCCTAGTTTCAGATTGGTGACAGCTTTAGTAACCTCAGTTAGTGACGGAGGACCTGTGTCTATATCCCATTCAGGGAGGTGTTGGATGCTCGGAAGGTTGAGCGTGGCTGTGGGCAAATTAAACTGCTCCTCATAATGCTCTTTCCAACGATCCAGTCGTCTATCCTGTGAGCTAATTATAGTGCCATTTTTTTCCGAGATTGTCTCACTAATGATTTGTCTTCTCCCACCCGTTTCCCTGATGAGTCCAAAGAGTTGCCTGGTGTTGCCTATCCTCGAAGCTTTCTCCATCTCTTTGGCTTTTGTCGCCCACCACTGTTCACGGTCCTTGCGGAGACTTTTCGTAAGTTTCCTCTTGTGCAGCTTTCGCTCCTCATTGAATTCGGAGCTCGCCGGAATAAGTCTTCTAGCATCTATCAGTTCGGATGAGGCGGTGGAGATCCAGTGGTTTTTACTCACCTTTGGGTTTACCTTATTCACAGCTTTTACAGCTGTATCTATGGCTGCCTGGATATTTTTCCAAGCTTCTTCAGGGTGAGCACAGCTGTCGAACACAGATATGTGTTTAGCTAGTTCTTCCTCAAATACGGATTTAGTTTCCTGATCGAGCTGGGGACGTGATGGTTTTACCGCCAGCTGTTTCCTACGTCCGTTCAGTCGTAAGCACACCCGAGCGCGGACCAGTGCATGGTCGGTATCTACGCACGTGTTCCAGAAGGAGCGACAATCTCCTACCGACCCACGCCAACGATAGCTTATTGCTATGTGGTCTATTTGTGTCCAGCGTTGGTTTGATGAAGGGGGTCTCCAAGTCAAACAGTGTCTCTCCTTGTGTTTAAAGTTAGTGCTTACAAGAAACAAATGATTATCAGAGCAGAACTGTAGGAGACGGTCACCGTTGTCGGTTCGCTGGCACGGAACTCCATAGGTGCCACCGACATCCTTCTCAGATTGACACAATTTCCCTACTTGAGCGTTAAAGTCACCAGCTAGAACGACTATGTCTGAGCGTTTAGCCTTTCGCACCAAACTAGACAGCTTTTGGTAGAACTCATCCTTCGTTTCATCTGAACTGCAGTCAGTGGGGGCGTAGGCGGAGATTACGAAAAGGCATCGGCGAGTAGTGCAGTCCTTCCTCCTTCTTACTGATCCGTTCAGGCGGACAGCACACATTCGGCTATCTACCGGGATCCAGTCAAGCAATGTCTTTTCTGCCCTAGTACTCAAAGCTATCCCTACGCCAGCTAATCCTCGTGAACTAGCTGTGGCATCTCCTGACACCCTCAAGGTGAATTTTGCAGATTCAACCTGTTGGCCAGGTGGGGTTAGGTGAATAACCACACTTGGGTCTTGTATGCGTGTTTCTGAAACACAGCATACATCAATGGCTCGTGATGCCAGGGTCTTGGCTAGTGATGCTTGTTGTCCTATTTGGCAAAGTGTCCTAACATTAAGAGCTCCTATATGAAATTGGTGGCGCGGCTTTAAGAGGCTGTCGGTGGTGGTTTTTTGGCTTCCATCGTTTTTAGTGGACGCAGAGTGGAGAGGAAGTGGAGAGCTATCAAGTCGAGGAGTTGCATCAGTGGAAGGAAGGCAAGATGATAGAGATGAAGATGAAGACAAAGATGAGTGAGTAATAGAGAGGTTTCGTGTGCATTTCGGATTGTGAGGGCGATTGTTACTTCCCGGCTGCCCACACCGTGGAAGTTGGTTGCGTGACCGCAGAGCCCAGGGGACAACTGCTTGAGGCCGGTCACACGCGGCCTGTTTTTGTTCGTTCTTTTTTGTTTGGTGTGTCTCAGTAGCAGATTTATCACTCCTGCCCTGTGACACGGCAGCAGGAAGCGCGGTCGTTGTTAATCCGGGCCACGGCCGATCCGGCATGAAATTTTGTGATTTTGTATTGGACATGATGTTGGATTGGGTAGCTGCTTTTTGTTTAACCGCTATCCAAACAACCTGCCTGGCATGGTAGAACCTCAAGAGACATAAGTCTCAGCCAGTATAGCTTGAATAGATCATTGCGGTGTTCAAGCCCGACCACCACGTCAAGGTAGCAGCTTTCGGTCGGGACATGGAGGAGATCGTGTGAAGAGGAGTTGAAACAGTATGGACTAACATGGATGCAGGTGAAAAGTACAGCAGAAGGAAGACAGAAGTGGCAAATGGAGACGTGCAGTTGAAGCCCTATATTCCACTAGGAACCCAAGGGAACAATAATAATAAATACAATAATAATAAAAAAATACTTTTCAGTGTTATGATATCCATTATTATTATTAATAGTAGTAGTATTGTTACTACTAAAACACAAGCCTGTCACAATATCAGAACCAAGAAATGCCATCGTTTATGCGAGGACTGGTATACTGCCCGGATGATCAGAGAGGAAACAGTTGGTTGTCTTAAGAGGCCACCACCAATCCCCCCCCAGGTCTTTTACTTGAAGTCTGATATACAAGGCTACATTCCCAGGTTTAACGGTGACCAAAATAGGTTCATAGGCAATTCGGTATGACAAGGCTAGTTAGCTGTCTTTGATCAAAGGTGTCTGAGTTCTATCCCCCGTCTTATGTAGTGATAACATTGCCCATTGTGGAGGAAGGCGATGGCTGGTTAAGGATACATAACACAAGCTTTATCTATCTGAGCCGGTGTAACATCACACTCTCGTCGATTGATTTCCCCTCTTTGACTTAAACTAGCACTCAACCGATGCCTAACCTCAATATGTAATCACACAATAGAAATGGATAAGATAACAGTATTAAAGAAAGTAATATAGCTAGGCGGAGAAAAAGATGGTTATTAATCACTGAAATCTCTTTTTCTATCGAATTAACACCATACATAACACGTGCAAGTGAAATGACGCAACCCCTATACTAGACATACGGGGGAAATTGCAGTGAATATCAGAGGCGCTGGGGAGAGAAAAATACACATATACCATTTCCAAGAGTTAGTTCATAGAGATTTGATTTACTTCAATTTTGACCACAGAGTGATGACATCAGTGAAAGAACTATTGAAAACCAGCCACAGGGAGTAGTGGACAGTCAGATGTTTCACCCTAGTAGAATGGGACTCATCGGCTGTACGCACCCACCACCGACCAAGATTTGAACCCAAAGACTTCTGTTTACAAGGCAACAAGCTCGTAGAGCATTCAGCTACTGAGACCCGAGTGAATGGTCATCTAGCTTATGTGAATCCATGGTCAAACTTATGTATTCATTAATATTTATGAACAGCAATAAATCGTATCAATGACGACAACCTGTTGAGAACACTCAGGATGTTACACATACGCTTATACTGAATAAGAATTACAGACTGGTACATGCAGAATCTCTCGCAGAAAACTAAAGTCTAAGCATGTACTATTTGTCGACGATGAACACCGCTCAGAAAGCAATAAAAAAATGCATAAACATGCATATGTATATAAAGAGATAATGTGAACACTTACACATGTCAACGCTTCACCGATATCACTCAACACTGAATGTCGTACAGATGACATAAGAATTTTCTGTTCAGTTAGTAGCTGAACAAATAACTGAATAATTACATCGACATTTAAATTATCCAATAGACGGAAGAAGGATTCACAACTGTAAAAAGCAAATAAATATAAAGAAGAATTAAAATAACAATATGCTAAAAGAATAGGATAATAATAATAATAATAGTTAATAAGTTACAGGCTTGACCATGATTTGACATCAGTTAGAGAACTAATTGAAAAACCACCAGGAAATAGTACTGAATAACCATTTGTTTCGCCCTCGTTTTGGTCTCTTCATCAGTGCACACACACACACACACACCACGGTTTAGACCAAAGTCCTTCAGATTATAAGGTGACTAAATCGGTAGACAATCAAATTCCTCCAAGCTAACAACAAGCACCTGATAGTCAAATTATACTCCCTAGTGACTGGTTGGCTCTACACAGGAAGATGTAACCAGAGGGGTTTCACCAATTATGATAAGAGAACAATTACTCACATATTATATTGGCTGGCCACTGGATCAGGTCACAGTGGGGATCAATGGTTTACAACCTCACCTTGTAACCGAAAGCTCCTATCCTGAGTGCGAACCCCAGTGTGTGTGTGTGTGTACTGATGAGGAGTCACAAAACAGGACGAAACATATGTCCAGCACTACCTAGTAGTTCGGAACCGGTCAAATCCCTGCAAACCGACACCTGATAAAAAGCACCTGCTTCAATTTTGATCACGAAAAGACTGAGAAAAGTCTGGGAACCTCTGCTAAACACTAGAAAAACTACTGGATTGGTGGTTCGCCCCAGTTCGGGAGTCTTCAGCGATCGAATCAAAGACCTTTAATGATCTGATCCAACTGAATGATATCTCTGATATCCACTATCTTTTCACTGAGATAAACACACACTTCACGCTATTATGATGATATGATTGCGAAGATTAGGCCTATTAGAGCTTAGTAATTTAAATATCCTCATAATTTACATATTCAAAGCAAGTGCAGATTTAATCGGTTGGAAAAAATCTGCGCATTGCCTATTTGACATTCATTAAGAAATACAAAGGCTTTTTATAATCATAATCAGTGAATCCCTAATAATTTATTCACACAGGAGAAGAAAAATTAGAAGAAAATAACTTCTTCAGCAAGTTGTATAGTTTTATAAATCCCTCATTAATATTAGCATATAAATGACTAGTAATTAAAGCCTAACTAGATAGAACGATAATATTTGAAATATTATTATGTATTAGGGTGTATAAGCACAAGCGAAGCGAATTTGCGCGTCGGTAGCACAGCGATAGAATACTCGCCAGCCAAGCGCCCCAAGCGGTCCAGGGTTCGATTCCTGGTCACCAACGCACTTCTCTACCTCACTAAGTTAGTAATAAGACTACTGGCAAAGAGGGAAGGCTGGGCCAAGTGAGGCTGGCTAGCAACCCCATCCCGTGGAAATATACACCACTGCTACCGAAACTTCAAGCCTCCAGCTAGCTACCTTGAAGGCGCCCTACGTTCCATTGGGAACGTAAAGGAATAAAAAAAAAATAAAAACGTAACAGCTATGTACTACTGACTGATTAACACGAGTAGTTGAACAACAATCATACATCATCAACAACAACCAGTAATGCTTGCTGCAGCTGCTGACCAGACAGACTGAAGTGATTTAAACACCGGGGGTGGCGAGCTCAACCTCAGTGGTGTACGCGGAGAGAGAGCCGGATCACATCGAACCAACCAATTCCTAGCTAACTACTTGGGTGGCGCAGATGAGGATGTCAAAACCAGTAATGGAAAGGTGGGAAAAGAAGTCGGGAAAAATTTACCCAACTCAAAATAATAATAAAAAAAAACATGATTCGGATTTTCAACATTAATGTCGAATCATTTTCCTCTATATATAGTTCAGAAACTTCGTGGATCACAAAAAGCGTGGATCCCAACAGGCGCTTTCGCCAGTCAATATTGAAGATTAGATGATGATCAACCAGAAGGAATGACCAACAAGAAACTCTGAAAATGAATTAATCAACGACTTTTAATGCGCCATTAAATACACCGAAGGGAATGAAAGTGAATCGAACACAAGCTGAGGAGACACCTCTGAATGACATTATGCGTCAGGTTTCCGATTAGAACCTCGGTGAAAAAGAGACAGGTTGGACGTTCATCAAGAGTGAAATGGAGTAGATCATGTGGAAAGGAAATGAGAGCAAAAAAGCAATCGTGGAGCCAGCAAAGGAGGACTGTAGAGAACAGAATGAAATGGAGATATGTGTTGCTAAAGCCCTATATTCCAATTACAGCCCAAGGGAACCAGTGGAGGACTTCCCATTGTAAATAGTGTACTGCTTACTTCCTATCAGAAGAACAGGAATGCAAGCACCCTGATTGTGGGACAGAAAGCTTCTCTAACAAAAGAGGGTTAGGTAACAGGGTGTGTAATCAAGGAAGGCACACCAAACATATTTGGCACAGCTATCTAACCTAGAGATAATATTATGATATAAGATGACAGTGGCATCTAAAGTTCGCCTGTTATGTTCATAAGCAAATTAATTAGAGTCGTTAAGAGCCTCAAAAAAAGGTTCAAAGTTAAGTAAATGCAGTGTTTCCATTATTTTTTCTTTGAAAAGAATCAGCGTCAAGTTGACCACAGGGTACGGTCGAATGGCGGAATTCAAAATATTCACAGCAATGAATAGATCCCAATCAGCGCTTTCTGGCAACCTGCACGCATGACACTAGTAACCAGTTACGAACTAGTGTCCAATCAAAGTACCACAAACAGTATACTACAGGATGTCAGTCGCTAGTTCGAATAGCTAGGTCAGTACTGGTAACATCTCTGGCTTCAGCATAATAATGGATGATATGGGTTCAAATGCCAGAGAGGAAATGAGTATTTTCAAGTTCGCAGATGAACCTCGATGGCAAGCAAGAAACCTAGGTTTAAGGCTTCTCGTCAACTGCATTCAATCATATATATATATATATATATGTTATTATTGATTATTGTTCTCTTGGGTTCCTAGTTGAACATTGGGCTTCAACTGCACGTCTCCACTTGCCACTTCTCTCTTCCTTCTGCTGTACTTTTCACCTGCATCCATGTTAGTCCATACTGTTTCAACTCCTCTTCACACGATCTCCTCCATGTCACTCTTACACCGACGTCCCACTCGCCGCTTCCCTTTCGGCCTGGTTCCACTCGAGCAATGGCCTGACGCGCGAGATGTCACCCAGCGGCCTCCTCAACGAGTGTCCAATCCATCTCCACTTTCTCCTGCATATTTGTTTGGCGACTGGTTCTTGTTTTGTTTGTTTCCATAGTTCCTTGTTGGTGATCCTTTCCGGCCCAGCCATCTGATCTTCAGTATAGATTTAGTGAAGACAGTTGTTGATAAAAGTCTGCAACAGGCTGTTGGAAATATTCCTTGTGATCCACCCGCCAAGTTTCTGATCCGTATAGAAGAACTGACTGACTTGACGTGTTTGTATTGAAAATCCTACTGAATTTTGTTGTTGATGACGGCTGAGTGACGAAGATTTCCAGATTGGTTTCAGGCTGATGAATGTGTTTCTCGCTCGATTTGACATCCTCGTCCGTTCCTCCTGTAGTTGAGACAATGCTCCCTAGATAAGTGAGTGAATGAAGTAACCTCTTTCAAATCTCTCCCGTTGATGGTGATTGGCGCTGGATGTTGCTGCTGTTGTTGTTGGTTTGTTATTTTCATAGCCTCCGTCTTGTTTATGTTAGCCTGGAGTCCTGTCTTCGCCGGCTGCTTCTTCGACCAGTTTGTCGGTTTTCGCTTGTAAGTCTTCGATTTTGTGTGAAATCAAGCATAAATCATCCACCTCGCCTGGATTACTAGCTCGTTAGCTTTCTAGCCTCGCCTAGACTATTAGCTTGCTAGTTTTCTAGCCGGTCGCAAGCCCGGATGAAGAGGGATAGTTGGGGCGTGGTGCTAGCAACTCCACACCCAAAACTCAACTAAACCACTACATAAACTTCACTCCACCAATATATTAAAAATTATATATATATATATATATATATATATATATATATATATATATATATATATATATATATAATTAGGATGACACATACAGAAAGGTATGCAATAAAAGCAATATATGAGGTCATTCAATGTCTGAATATTTCTTTCAATTCAACAGAATATGTTCATATACGGATATTGTTGAAAACAGTTGTTTACTATAATATTAGATTCTTTGTTGTTTTTGAATATCTCTCATGCAATAGCTGCAGTTTTGCAGGTCGACAAAAGATGTATACGTAACGATAACACATTACTCACACCATAAAGTTTCTGTGGATTTATTCGATTAGTTTCTATGTAGATTTCCACCATGAACTGACACATTATCAGTTACAGAGACTTCAATCGATAGCAATGTGCAGTGAAATCTACACTTTTTTTAAAAGAACTAATCGAACCCCTGCAAGGCACCCATATTATTGTTATTAACGCATGATTATGACATAGACATTCTAGAGTCATATGGGCAAGAAGTGGTGACCTGCGCTATCCATCAAGTTGGTTAAGGGAATATATATACTACCCAACAAGACTGATAGACGGTGGCGTTATATCCTAAACTAACAGAAGTTAGAATTCATGAGTCATCACATTCATTCAATCCCTCAATGACTGAACGATAGATAGTCTATAACCTCATGGTCCTAAGCTTATGATTTCCATTGGAATCATGCGACAGTACCGTTGAAGAGTAAGTTCCAAAGTAGGACATAACCACGAAGTAAATAAAAAAAATAAATAACTTTCTCTATAGGATTTCATCATGGGCTGACATCGGTTAGCGAATCATTACCACCCCAGTTGTGTCCTCTTAGTTTGCGACTCTTCAGCCGATGACAGTGGCTGGAGTGGTCATTGGTTCGGGTACCAGTGGCTCAAGCGTCCGCATGAGCTCGCCTCGTAGCCGACAGTCTTCGGTTTGAACCATGGCGGTGGGTGGGTACTGCTGAGAAGAATGAAACTAGACTGACAAAATAGTTGACTCTCTCCAGTACTCCCTGCTGGTTCTCTAACCGATGTCAGCTCATGATGAAACCCTGTAACCAATCAAATCCCTGTAAAACAACACTTGGATTTTCTCTGTTTGTTTCCTTTAAGAAGCAAGGTGTTTAAGTTAGAGAACAGCTACCAATAAATGACACCCTGAGCAAGTAATGCGAGTAAATATTTGAGAAATTAATAATAAATTATAACAAGTTTGAATGTATACACTAAGCTTAAGGCGATAATTCTCCTACAAGCAAACACATAAACTTAGCCTCATTCCTAACCCTAACCAACCTATGATTTAACCCTTAGTCACCACCTAACCCTAAACTTAATCTAACGCTTAACCACTAACCCTACGTGATATCCGACTATCGACCAAAGGGTGTGTGTACTGCTCATCAGTCCGCTCCATCCCCCTCTATGGCTGGCTGTGAGACCTGGTCATTTAGAGTGGAAGACATGAAAAGATCAGCTGTCTTCGATCATAGGTGCCTGCGTTCTATCTCCCGTGTGAAGTGGTATAATAAGGTGAGCAATATTGAAGTTAGGCATCCGTCGAGTGCTAGGTAGGTGGGAGGGGAAATCAATCGACGAGGTTGTGAAGTTACATCGACTGAGATGGTTAGGACATGTGTTACGTATGCCTTGTCATCGCCTTCCTCAACCGACTGGCAATTTTAGCTGATATAGGGTCAGGCTGGAAAAGGGCTCGCGGCGGTCAAACAAAAACATTGCGCCAGTCAATGAAATCTACAACAGTTAGTCTGAGCCACGTAGGAAGGTGTAGACTTCCTAACTGGTGGAGTCCTCGAGGCAGTAAAAACCAATGGTTGGAAACAATTGGTGATATGGCTCAAAATCGTTCTCAATGGCTGGCGCATATGCATCCACTACTTGTGACTTATGATTTCCAATGAAACTGTTTTGTTCTTCGTTACTACTATTCCTTTGTATTACACCTCTGTTTACTGTCTCTATTATGCATTTCTTCTACTTTCTTCTCTTGCTTTGTGTGCTACATGAAGGGAGTGTGGCGACTTGAACTTCCGCACATATGTGCAAAGTTCTATGTCGAAAACAGACAGACATTCAGACTAACCCTACACGTAATCAAAATTGTAAAACAAAATCAGGAGAGTAAAGTGTAGGTTACAACCATCTCCCTCAACATCAATCAGAGGGTTTTTCGTGATGTCAGCTGCTCTCATCCTGTAACTGCTACTATCACCAAGAAAATCTTTCCTTTCCCTTCAAAAATGGAGCATAGGGCGCTTCCCCACGCTTGAAGCTTTGACATTCTTCCAGTAACAGAAGTTTTCTTGTTTCACTTACAAGATTCTCCGAAGTAATTAACCACAATATTGAATTACTTTCAACGAATTTTGTTCTTTGAGACAAACAGGATAATATAATATCATTGATGATCTCGCTGCCAAGGCGAGTAAAACATAGCCAATCAGCGCTTAGATCGTAAGTGTACTACTGCCTGGTGGTTGCTCGTTGGTATCCAACTATTCAATATTGATCGTTAGTGAATACTACCACGTTATATTAGTAATAATAATAATAATAATAATAAACAAAGATAAGAACTAACCATAAAAAAGATATGTTTACCGTTGAAAGTCTGAGAACAAAAATTCTATAAAATGTCACGAGACTCGAGAGATATGGATTTTCTATAATTCTTCTGTGCATTAAGAAGAAATAAACTCACAACTGTGATAACAGTTATGTAGCAGCATACACATATATAGGAATTTTGGATACGATTTGCTTAACTACTAAAGACTGATAAAATAAAACTACATAAAATGTGATGGTAATCATTAGGAGTGATAACTGTCGCAGGGAAGAGGAACAGCCTACCAACACCTTTTTCATTTATTTTATCCCTTTACGTTTCCAGTGGAACATAGGGGGCCTTCAAGCTAGCTAGAGGCTTGAAGTTTCGGTAGCAGTGGTATATATTTCTACGGGATGGGGTTGCTAGCCGACCTCATGCCCAACTTTACCTCTTTGCAGGTCTTACCACTAACTTAGCGAGGTAAAAGGGTGAATCAGCCCGGGATCGAACTCTGGACGACGTGAGGTGTAGTTGGCGACCATTCGGTCTCTAAGCACTAAAGCACATATTTCCACCCAGACCCGGATACCTCAGTGGTAACATCGTCTCTGACTACAGCACTAGGTGATAGACTTCAGTCTGCACCAAACAACGAAAGGACTAGACACGTCACACTAGTTACTAGTGTCCAATCAAAGTACCTATTACAGTCCTATATGAGGTCAGTCGCAAGCTCGAATATCTTAGTGGTAACGTCTTTGACTGCAGCACTCACTGGATAACGCGGGTTCAAATCTCAGAAGGGGCACGAGCTATTCCTTCAAGGTCGCAGACACGCCTTGCTGACTGGTGAGTGCCAACTAGCACGAAACCTAGGTCCAAGGCTTTCTGCCGATTGCCTCCAAATATCTAATATCACCAGATACGAAAGAATATATATATATATCATATCCTTTAACAGCCAATTTGTATTCTTGATTTAAGATTCGAAGCGGACGTCCACTTTTACTTTGTTGACCTTTAGTAGTAAATGTTTATTGCAATGCATACATGGAATTTATTTTGTAAATAGTATTAATTTTATCGTCTTTGTATTTTTTCTGTTGGATCAATCTTTTGGTCTGCACAATATAGAATGGAATGGTTGTGCAGTTAAAGTAGCCAGATCAGAGAACACACAACTAATTCAATAGAGAATGTCTGTATATATTGTAACCTACTTGATATTCTAAAATGAATGCATTATTATTATTACTACTATTATTATTATTATTATTCAACAGAAAAGTGATATGATATTCACTCAATACATACCTTGAAGAAGACGCATTCGTATCGTCTGGACGTTGAAGAAGAATAGGCGCGGCACAAAGCTAGATATAAATGTATGTATGCATGGTCGTTGAACAAGAAAAGAAATAAATTTATTTAACAAAAGAAACACATAAATATCAGGCAATGTGTGATTAAGAATAAGAATTCATGTAAATCTATTCAAACGTAGACAAACTTATATTTTATAGATGACCTGTAGTAAATCGAATCTTATCTACAAAACTATACCTATTATCCTCTATTGTTCCCCCTTAGTTTTTCCACGGCTACTGAAGAAAGCCTACATCTTATTACGTGGGATGTTAAAGGTTGCCACCAGGGTAAGCGATGTGCTACTTAACCAGCTTGTTCATATTCTGGTCGACAGGTACTTGGACTCATGTGAAAAATGGGCTAAATCCATTCTATTATATATATCCAAACCAAGTTCACTTTTAACGGTTTGAAAAAATTTGGGCATTGGGTATATGATATTCATTATAATAGAGGTTTTTTTGTATTTCCCAATCTCGTTTTGTTTTTTCATTCATTGGGAAATACAAAAAACCTCTATTATAATAAATCCATTCTATCTATCTAACTCACACCACCCTTTTCATTCATTCACAACTCTCCCCTTGTATCTATCTCATCAGGCAAAACCAGAAGCCTATATAGAAAACTATATGCTCACACTAGCAAGTACTTGGCTCGTGTTCTGTGCGATAAAGAAAGCATTAGGCGTGACACTTATAACTTATTAAATAGTCAGTAGAACACCAGACTGGATCTCGTCTTTCCAACTCATAGCATTCAGAGGTACAACGTTTTCTTTCTTTATTTTCCTTTTCTCTTCTTTTTCATTTCTTTTTTTTGTTATGTGCTGTTTTGTTTCTCTCTTCTTTACAAACTCTACTTAAAACATTCTTCTTCGTTCTCTCACACTCTGTATATCTCGACCTTTTTGTTACCGCTTACGCCAGTAAATATGCTAGTAGCCACTTTTCTAACACCTTCAAACATTCTGTTCACTTTTGACTTTGCTACCGATATGCTCATATGTTGTTGTCAAAACTAACTGAGATTACCCTTAATCTATGTAGGATTTTTATTTATTGTTAATGTGCTAACTGGATGCAATACTGTAGTGAAATGCTGAGAACTCCTTTCTGTATCACAAGTACTGTTTCGGAATAAAGCAAATTATTATTAGTATTACTAAAAAACTATTTACAAAATTTAAAACAATTAGTCCTTTTTATAAATTTGGATAGTGCTATTCGAAGATGGAGATTATCTGAAGAATGTGATGTGATGTATTTGCGCTACACATTTCAAGCAATCTGATCCCTCATACATTTACTTGTCAAATCGATGTATATGAAAAATTAAGGACAATTAAATTAAACAACGTGACAAAAAAGGATTTAAGAATGATTAACAGAACGTTTGATATAATTCAATCAAATAAGGATTACCAAGGTTACCGAGGAAAAAAGTTGCATTTTTAGACATACTTCTGAGTCGAAGCGATGATGGTTCAATAAGACGATCAATTTACAGAAAGCCCACTTGTACAGGGCAATACCTTAATTTTCACAGCTTTTGTCCATTACAGTATAAGAGAGGCTTGGTGAAATGTATATTTAAGAGCATTTAAATTTAGAAAAACAGATGGATTGTGACAAGCTAATAGATGCAGGTGGCAGACTACCGAATTCGTCTATAGCTAAACATCCAATCGAGATGAACCATAAGATTGATGTTAACTCAGCCTTTAAGGTCATCTGTAAAAACGGTCAAGGGCGTTTACTGAAATACCCTGAAGCTATAGCTATTCATAAACTTAAGCCCCCTTGTGTATTCAAAAACAGTTTATTATTACTCTTAACCTACCCTGGTAATCCTTATTTGATTGGATTACCAAACGTTGTGTTAATCATTCTCAAATCCTTTTTTTGCCATTTTTTAAATTTAATTACCTTTAATGCTTTCATATATATCGACTTGACAAGTATATGTGTAATGGACATGTGGTCATAGATCAAAGAAGACGTAAATTTGTACACAAAACGTTGAAGCGAGGAATGTTTGCTTTATCGGTTCACCATTTATATATATATATATATATATATATATATATATATATATATATGGTGCACAACAGACGTCTTTCTTCATAGGTGTGAGATATGACCATTGGATGTAGAAGATATGAAAAACCTAGCTATCTGTCTTTGATCGCATAGGTGTCTACGTTCTATCTCCCATCTCACGTGGTGGTATCGTATAATAGGGTAATATTGAGTTGGTTAGGCGTCGAGTGACTAGCTAAGCCAAGGAGGGGAAATCAATCAACGAGGTTTTGAAGTTACATCGATTGTTATGCATAGTGCATATGTTGTGCATGCCTAGCTAGCCATCACCTTCCTTAACAACAGGAAATGTTAGCTGACATAGGATGGATCAGATTGTTGGAAAGGAGCTAGTAATGGTCAGAAGAAAACATGGGATCAGTCAGTGAAATCTTTAACAGTCAGTTTGAGCCAGTCACGTAAGGAGGTCTAGACATCCTTGTTGGGGTCCTGAGGAGATTCTAAGAACTAATGGCTGGAGACAATTGGAGGCCTCAAGATTGTTCACGGTACCACAGGTGCACTCTTTCTTTAAGACTTCCAGTATCCATTAAACCCCCAATGTTTCTCCATGTTACTATTTCTTTTCCCGCAATTTTCACTACCACCTATTATAGTTCAAAGAAGACGTAAATTTGTACACAAAATGTTGCAGCAAGAATGTTTGCCTTATCTACTCAACATCTATATGCATTGGGCTATACACACCAATGGAGTTAGGCTTATCCAAATCCTAGTAGATGCTGCGGATTTTCAACCTCTGATCTATTGTATAATTGTAAAACTTCGGTACTGTGGAAGTGTGGGTAATACCATACTTGCCACTAATTGGACATATTTATCACACGTAGTAAAACAGTACTATTTACTGGATGACAAAATTTCGGACACAATCTATTATTTGAAGTCAATTGGTGGAAAGTTGACTAGCAGTGGAATCCGCTAGGATGCGCATTTCATCCTGTTTGAGACGATGGTGCCCCCTCTAAGGCTCGGACCAAAGGCCAATAGTTTCGAATGCCAGAGCATTATGCACTGTTATTATTGTTGTTTATAATCATATCAGTCAACTGTAACTACACAACTGTAAAAGTTGACTTATACAGTTTCCCTTATTCCTTCACATTCGTCATGGTGAAGGGGGGGTGTGTAGCAGAATTTTTTCCAGACGTCTGGGACAGGTGTTGAATCATTTCTGCTGCACGTATCCTCAGTTGATTTCATAAGTACAGCTTTTGGTATTAGTCTTCCCCATCAACCTATTAGATTTCGAGGCTGTCATCTTATCCCATCCTTATTGTGTTGTTGAGTGTAATCGTATATAGCGCTCTATAGCTGGTCTGCTTTGTAGAACAGAGTCAATCAGAATAGCGGTGGAACACAAAAGCCTAGCAAAATCTAGATTAGTTGACCTGAATAAAAACGAGAAACCCAAAAAATATGCAATTACACACAACCATACAACAGAGGATGCAATATAAGATGACAGTCTATAAATCTAACATAGCAGGATGCAGGGATAGATTCATAATGAAAGCTTTATTTATCGAATCAATTGAAAATAAGTGCGATAGAGTAAATGATTCAACACCTATCCACCTGGATACCTGTAAAATCCTACCACTACACTCCTACGACAAATGGGAAGGAAGCAAGAGGAACATATAAAAATCAAGCTTCACCTATCAGTTTCCAACATATGCACTTCCGAGTTCGAACTCCGTCTCACCTAATTCCGCTGGTACAATTGGTTAGTAAGTAGTATTGTAACAACAGAAGACTAGGGCCAGGCAACAGATCGTTTTATTATGAAAATCAACACGTATTTATACATATTTCAACTACATTATTATAGACAAGCGCAGTCATCTGATTGGTTGTTTATCAGAAGTTAGGTAGACAAACGCAGGCTTCTGATTGGTTGTTGACTCAGCCTTGTTCATATTTTCTCACGGCCCATATTAGTGACCTAGACCTTAACGTAGATTAGTGCCAACCAATCGGCTAGCAGCCTGCTCTCACCACAGTATCAATAGCCTTCACCAGACCGTATGTGTGGCTTATAACTTTAGATGCAGGAAAAATTTGTTCTCGAGTTGTTGTTATTATTACTGATGAGTTCTACTCAGAGGCCACAAAACTGATTTTAACAATATTGAAATCAACTTAAAAATCCCCATTGAGTTATACATATAAAAGAAAAAAAGCGTTCAGTAGAGAGTTACTCATATCAATTGACGTCATTCTCAAGCTGTACAATCCGATTACATATATGGTAAAATACCTTAGCAACAAAAACAATATTTCCAAAGATGTGTGTCTTTTTTATATCACAAATTATGTAGTGTAAAAAGCGTTAGTCTGGTAGAAACTAGAATAAAATTAAGTAAGTAAATTGAATGACGTAATATAATTGACGTGTTTGATTAGAATTCAACTAAAATTGAACGAGAGTCAACACAATCATCTTCAGAGGCATTATTATTATAATTATTATTGTTTCCTTCAGTTCCTAGAGGAACATAGGGCTTCAGCTGCACGTCTCCATTGCATTCGGTTCTCTGCCAACGTTTTCACCTCGCTCCACGTCTGCCCACATGCTTTTATCTCCTCTTCACATCACCTCCTCCAAGTTACCCTCACATTGACGACCAACTCGCCGCTTCCCTTTCAGGTTCCACTCGAGGGCCTGTCTTGTGATGTCACTCACTTGATGGTTTTCTCAGAGCATGACCAATCCACTTCCTACCAGGTTGGTTCGCTCAATGCTAGAGATCCCTGTTGCTGATCTTTTCTGGCCGGCCATCTGATCATGAGTAGTATTGAGCGATGATGAAAGTCTGTAATTTTTTTGAAGTGCCTTTAGTGACGCGGCGCCAAGTCTCTGATCTCTATTGTAGTAGTAGTAGTAGTAGTAGTAGTCCATTGTTGAGTAATATGAAGGATCTTCTTCAGGCTTTACTCTAATTTACATAGATTTATATATAAAAATTTTTAACCAATGACAGTGATTTTGTGGATCAAATAATAATAATGCGGTGAATGTTTTGAACGAAATTAATAACAATGATTATAATGATAACAAAATATTGATAATAAGGTTTATGCAGGTGGCGATAAGAATAACAAAGGTAGTATATGTATATATGTGTATATGTACACAATTCAATAAATAAATAAATTAGGTCAAATCTTAAAAGGTGAAGTGAGTTTAAATAAATATCATATAAGTACGAAGGAGATGAAAGATAAGAAAGGGTGGGAGGGTTTTGAATAGAATTCACCTAGACCAAGGGAAGAGACAAAGGTAGAACAAACTTCTCCCTTTGTATGCAAAGACTAGGATTGTTCTCTCGAATTCCCATAGCTTCGGCTAAGTGTAAAAGACAGGTTCTGATTCCGTTCGAAAGACTCGATGGAATGCGATAGATAACTTTGAAGGCACTATTTTTGTCCACTTGGTGACCGCTATCAATCAAATGAGCCAAAATAGAACTTCGTATGGATTTTATTTGACCTTTTCCGAACCATGAAGGAAGATGCTCATTAATGCGTTTGTTAAGCTGTCCAGTTGTTCACCCTATATAGCTCTCTCCACAGGAGCAACTAAATTTATAGATACACATAGAAGTGGCACAGCTAGGTAGCTTGTCTTTCACTTAAGCAATCATAATTCGTCGGCTGGAAAATGATAAACAAAGGGTTGCGGCAGCATAAGTCCGTTTTATCGCTCTCGACAATCTCTGACGTAAGACTTCGCCAGCCACGTCTACATTAAATTGCAGTTTCAGGAACAGTTGTTTCTTTTCAACTGTTGTCAGTATCTCTTTATTGTACTTGGTGTTCTTGGGTCTCCATACAAATCTACTAAGATAACCTATTTGAACCAGCGTATTTTGGATGTATCCTAGCTCCACATATCATTCAACAATAAACTACTAAATGTGTTTGGTATCTATCTATAGATTTTTTTATTTTTTTAATTTTCGATTACAGCCTGATTCCACACCGTATTATTGGTTCAAGTATGGAATTTTCAGCGTGGATATCGGTAGCCCGAATTTCGCAGGCCGACCATAGATATCAGGAGTGCATCGGCGTGGGCTCGAACCCCGGACCATGTGCATGGTCGGCGAGAGTCCTAACCACTGTGCCACCGACGACGTGACTGTACAGTCTATGAAGATGATTCTGTTTGATAAAGAAAATTTTCTTCGCCTAACTGTCTTCTATTTACACCACATACGTTAAGATTTCGTTACACTCTGGTTTAACTATGCATGACTTTGATACAGTCGGTCAGCAAACCCAGACTTCGAGCGCGGTTGGCGAGTATCTCCATCATTGAAGAAAGACTGAAGCATTTTGCTGCAAACCAATGGGACCCCAACCTCAGACCTACCTGAACGTATCGCGCAGTTCAGCTACCATTTCAACTTCGCCAACTGGGTGGCCAATATGCCTACACACACACACACACACACACACACACACACACACACACAGTAGAGGCGTAAGCTCATAGACTCGTATAGATGACTAAAAACAATTAAAATAAACAATGAGACGGTGTCTACATTTACTACTGGCTATAGTAATTTCAGTATTAGTAGTAATGTACATCTCTAACAGAATGTTAGAAGGCAATCAAAACTATAAAGAAATAAAGAAAGATTACTTACATCCACTGATACACTTGGAATTGCACGATTCGGGAAAGGTATTTCGAACAGGAAATGACCTAAATATCTGCAAAAATTTAACACACACAAAAAAAGAAAAAGAAATAAAAACACGTATATTGAGATTATGGCTTTCTGCAGGAGTTTGAATTCATTTCAATGTAGATTTCGTCACAAAAGAGAACATCAGATTGAGAATAACAGGACTACTTTTCCGTCTCCAGTGATGTCAGCATCCACGACCCTTCCCCTCGCCTTCCAGGGATTGAATCCGGGTCCTTTAGGTTACGCGACCAAGCTCGTTGGTCACTCTCAGTCATTTGAGCCTGAAGGTCCTAGGTCCGAACCCTGGCAGAGTTATGGGCGTGCGACGATGATGAGTTAGTACCAAAACAGCTAACTGGTATTCACTGGTTTTCAGTAATCTCTCTAAATGATGTCGATTCGTGACGATATCTATATTGAAAACACGTATATATCAAATCAAATCAAAAGGGTACAGGAATTGTCCAAGACGACATTTACAAATAATGATATAGAGAAATGTTTCGGTAGAAAATGGATTTAATAAGAAAGGTAATAAAAAATTTGGAAAAATGGGTGAACATAATACTCATTATTCATCAAACCAGTGATTGTATTAGGTATTGAGGATTAGACTTTAATATCACTAATCATCATTAAAATCATAAGAATACAAAGATTGATGTGTTAAGCTGATCGAATACGAGTTAGTTTCTGTTCAGTTTTCGTTATTGTTGGAACACCGTCACACGTACTGCAGGCCAAAAATAGTTGTGTTTCTTGATATTAAAGCCACCCTTGAATCGTTGGACAGAACTGTTCTCTCTCGCGCGCGCGCTCTGGAAGTGTCCATTAGAGAGAGGTGTACTTTGAAAGTTTGTCAACATCCCAAAAGCACTGAACAGAGATATCCTAAGCAAAGTGAGAGCATACAACCAGCTATCACCACCGTTCCCAAAAAACAGTAGGGTTACACAGGGTTGCCACCCAGTCTCTCTATTTCTCTTGCTATCGATAACACTTTAGAATCAGTTCTGAAAGAAGTGCCTGGCGGTGGTGGTGGTGACGTAGATCTGCTTCCTGGAGACATACTTCTTGACCTTGATTATGCAGATGATATCATCTTACAGTGTGGTAGCATTCACTTAATCAGTTGGCGATCAGTGTCTGTAAGTATGGTATATGCAAGATGGGCGACGAAGTTGTGAAGTTACATAGACTGAGATGGTTAGGATGTGTTACGTATACCCAGCCATCGATCGCCTTCCTCGACGGGCAATATTAGCTGACATAGGGTCAGGCTGGAAAAGGGCTCGTGGCGGTCAAACCAAAACATGGTGGCACCAGTCAATGAAATCTACAACAGTTGGTCTAAGCCACGTGGGAAGGTGTAGACTTCCTGACTGGTTGGGGTCCTCGGGACGGTAAAAACCAATGGTTGGAAACAATTCGTGACATGGCTCAAAATCGTTCTCAGTGATGGCTAGCGCAGATGCATCCACTCCCTGTAACTTATGATTTCCAATGAAACTGTTTTGTTCTTCGTTATTACTATTCCTTTGTCTTACACCTCTGTTTACTGTCTCTAATATGCATTTCTTCTACTTTCTTCTGTTAGTTTGTGGGCTACATAGAGGGAGTGTGGTGACTTGAACTGCCGCATATGTGTGCAAAGTTCTATGTCGAAAACAGACAGACAGATAGGCAGGAGAGCCTGTCTGCCTGTGCCTACAGTCCCGCGCCTTTACAGGTGAACCGTTTGAAGTTGTCCCCAAATGGGTGTATCTAGATAGTTGTGTGCATACCCAACCTTTCTCTTTTTTCCAGGTTCACTACCAGCAACTAGCAAATCACACTTAAGGGTGAGTCAACCTCGGGAATAGAACAACCCAGAACAACTCCCATGTAATTGACTGTCAAGCGCATTCTACCACTAATGATCCACCCAACACACACACACACACACACGCATACAACTCATCAAAACAGAAACAACAATTATTATTATTATTGTATCCTTTAGTTCCTAGAGGAACATAGGGCTTCAGCTGCACGTCTCCATTGCCTTCGGTTTTCTGACAACATTTTCACCCTGCTCCAGGTATGTCCACATGCTTTCATCTCCTCCTCGCATGACCTCCTCCAAGTCACCCTCACACTGACGACCAACTCGCCGCCTCCCTTTCGGGTTCCACTCGAGGGCTTGTCTAGTGATGTCACTTGATGGTTTCCTCAGCGTATAGCCAATCCATCTCCATTTCTTTCTGCCTATTTGTTTCACAATCGGTTCCTGATTGGTTCGCTCCCAGAGATCCCTGTTGCTGATCTTTTCTGGCCACCTGATCTTGAGTATTGAGCGGAGACAGCTGTTAATGAAGGTTTGAAGTTTGTTTGAGATGCTCTTTATGACTCGCCAAATCTCTGATCCATATAGTAGAACTGACTTCACATTGGAGTTGAAAATCCTGATCTTATTTTTGATGCTGAGTGCTGTTGACCTCCACACAGATTTGAGAGTAATGAAAGCTTGTCTTGCTTTTCCGATTCTGGCTTTGATGTCCTCGTCAATTCCGCCTGTAGTTGAGACGATGCTTCCCAGGTAGGTGAAGGAGGTTGTTTCTTTCAGGTTCCTCCAATTTATGCTGACTGATTGTTGTCTGTTGTTGTTGTTGATGTTGGCTAGGAATGGAAAATAATAATTATTATAATAATAATTTACTTACCGTTCAAACGGTATAGCATTCAATTCATTCGACAATAAACATCGACTATACAGAAATCCGAGAAAATTAGAAAATGGTAAAGTGAACGACCAACGCGACAATAAACAAATAGTTTTTGTTACACCAATCACACGATCACCAACACGTGATGCTAAAAAATGACGTTGACGTTCAGCAATCGCCTTCTCCTCTTCATCGACTTCATTAACAGTGCAATCATGATTTATTATTAAATTGGTAGCAACACCACCAGTAGTAGTAGGCATTGGATCCGTAGTAGTTGTGTTCGATGAAATAATAGCACTGACAAGTTCAGGATCCAAGCCTAAACAATAACCTTTGAGTAAATCTAATTGTTTAAGATCATAAGGTTCATAAAATGTCAATGCAACACCATAGAGCTAATGAGAAAAGAGAAAAGAAAGAAAAAATACAACATTGAAGATGCGTAATATGATATTTTACCAATCATTTAGTTTATTATTCAATTCATCTTGGACTTTCCGCATTGATTGATTGGAGCATAGTGTTCGCCTTCACGTTGACATGTCGGCTACCTCCTCTGTGGATGCATCGATGATTGTCTGAGGAGTAATTTAATGGATGGTGACTAACAGTGGAATCCACCAGGATGCATATTTCGTCCAGTAGATGTACCTCCATTCTTCAGTCAGTGTGATAGTCATGTCCCCAGTGAGGCCCGAATCTAGTACTCATCGTTTCAAAGGTCAAAGCGTTATCCATTAGACTACATAGGCCCCGACAGCCATCTCTCTTGTGCAATTTAGACATTCTCGAGTGGTCTAGTGGATAACACCCTGGCATTTGAAACGATGAGTACCGGTTTCAAGCCTCAGTGGGAACAACACCGTCATTCACTAGGACGAAATGTGCATCCTAATGGATTCCAACTCAGTTATAATTCATTAGAGTATATGAGATTGACGTCAAACTACCGGATCAACTATAGGTTCAAATTCTGCCCGCCCCCCACCACCACCACCCTAGGAATTTGGCGGCAAGATAGTATCCCTAGCCTTCAGAAAATAGGTGCGACTCATTGCCAACTGCTTCTACAAATAGCTACAAACAAGTAATGGTCAAAACTCTATTTTATCATGCAGTGAGGAGAATATCCTTTACAGAAATATAAGAGGGGGGATTTCTAATTCTTAAAAAGTTATTAGAAAACAGCGGTTACCCTGAGAAATTCATTCACAAGTTAGAAGAATGTGAAGGCTCAAATACCAAACAAATCACAGTGTGGAAAAAAAGCAACTGATGAGAACCTGTGAAATAGAATGATATCATTTTATACTGCAAATCTGATCTTTCTTTCTCTATCGAAATTTGCTAAGCCCTGAACTCTGCATACAGAAGAAGTTCGTTTAATCACTACACTTACAATAGACTTAATCTATCTTATTACCTGGAAAGTAAATTCTACCTAATCTTTTTTTTCTGTCTCTTCATTGGTATTATTCTGTCTTCTTAATTGTAATATTTTGCATTTTCAACTTTCTTGTTCTCTACCCGCACCCGATTTAATTTCTACACCTCACTACCACTTTAACTGACTTGACCAACGCTAAATTTCTAGTCATTTATGTTACGTCATCCAACTTAATTGTTCAATTTCAGTTCTACTTTAAATAGCATTATTATCTACCTCACTTCTACTTAATCTCTGCCTGTAATTACCTCTGTTGCTACCCTGACCTAAATTAAAACATTTTAGTCAATTATATTACGTCGTCTAACTTACTAACCCAATCTTACTTTAGTTGCTGTCCAATTAACCCTGTTTCTATATTATATCATTCTCTTATTACCTGATCAATTATCTAAACTTGACAAACCTCATGTACACACACACAAATAATTATATATAAATACGATTGTACAGCTATGTGAATGAATTCGCCGAAAAGAGTCTCTTCGCTGAACGTCTTCTCTTTTTCATATGGTTATCAAAATTTATCAAGGGAACCAAATGAATGAAAAAAAGCTTATCTTCATTCAATTTTAAAGGTGATAATATCGCAGCAATAGTCAACAGAAGACTGAATACCTCACTACAGCTAATTGGGTTCCCGTTAATCGGAAAACGTGCTTCTTGGTGCAATAAAATTCGACGGACCCTTCGCATGTTAATTCCTACTGTATATACAAATTTACACGTATTATCTGCAGTTGCAGTTACAATGGGGGAAAAGAAAGAAGGGCACATACACCTGCGATTCACAGAACATGTACCAAGACGGCTGTTTTCCAAGAAAATAAATGTTTATAATAGTGCCATCGCTAGACATCTCATCAATATGCGTAATGAGGTGGACCTTTCATGACTGTCACCTAATAGATATTGATTCGGCATTTTAAAAGATAAGTGCTGAGGTTGCAGTTACAGTGGTAAGACCACCAATCAATCAATCAATCATTGAAAGGTCATGGATGAATCCATCTGACAGGTTGAAAATAGAACGAAACGCGCTAAGCGTACAACAAACCGTTATCCATCACCAATAAGCCACATTCCATAATACCACACGAAGATAGTAAAGAAAATTTTGACGGAATTATATAATAAAGGGAAATGTAAAGAGGAGGGCGGGAAGAATAATTTACATGGAGGAAAATGAAACCTTTGTGGATCTAGAACTAAATAAGTCACTCCGAGTGCATCAGCACCATCGAGAATAATTTCTCTCCATATCACCAACAGTCACTGCCAAACAATGGTTCTCAGGATTTGGACCCGACTGCCTCAAGACAGTCAGCATACACTTTCCTACCACCTAGTTCATCACGTCAACACTCAGGGACTTCATGGATTCATGCCAGATTTTGGTTTGATTACACACCACTAACCCTTTTCCCCAGCTTAATTCTATGTTGAATTCATAATTTGCAAATTGCTAACCAATTGGCGATCTACACAGTTCGAGTGGTAAAATTTCCTTTGGAAACCAAACATATTTGCATAAAACTATATATATATATACTACTGATTGATTGAGATGAGTAGTTGCACACCATGGGTCGGTGGCACAGAGCTGGAATGCTCGCCAACCACGCCCCATGTGGTCCAGGGTTCAATCCCCGGTCACCAAGGCACTCCTTGGCCGCGCTAATAGTTATAAAACTGGTAAAGAGGGAAAATTGGGTCAGGCATGAGGCTGGCTAGCCACCCCATCCCATAAAAATAAGTACCACTGCTAATGAAACTTCAAGCCTGTAGCTTGAAAGCACCCTATGTTCCACTGAGAATGTAAAGGAATAAAATAATAAATATTAATAGTTGCATACCATTCATATTGTGGTGAGAACTGTCTGCAAGCAAAAACTGTAGACAACAACTTACGTCAGTGTTTACGCCCCAAATCGGGGTCATGAGAAAATACAATAACGAAGCTTAACCTTCAGAAACTTAACAACCAATCACAGCAGAATTAACGTGTGCAAATACGATTCGCGGATACATGGCCTAACTTTCTGAGAAACGGTCAGTCACAAGCAGTACAGAATAACCTTCAGCAAGAAAACAACCAATCGGAAGAGTTTGCTTCTATGCTAACAACGCCATTAATAAGGTACTTAAAAATCTATAAATATATCTTGGTTTACTCAACAAGGATGCCCATTATCTCCTTTTCTATTCAACTTCATCATAGATGTGTTAATGGACTTAACCCTAGGTGACTTCAGTGACTCAGGGATTCACTTGCTACCGGGGAATAATCTCGTTGACTTGGAATATGCAGACGATATAGTCCTTCTAGGCGAAGACGCTGACGAAATGCAGAGTCTTCTAAACACCTTGAGCCGCAATCTACGAATGTTTGGCATGCGATTCGCTCCCGCCAAATGCAAGAGGATGTTACAGGACTGGACTACATCGACGCCTAGTTTAAAAATACGAAGTGAAGTGGTAGAGCACGTTGACCACTTCACTTATTTGGGAAGTACCATCAGCCAGTGCCAATGGGTTGATCTCTGACGAAATCTCAGCACGAATACAAGGGGCTCGTTTCGCATTTGTTAGCTTACGCCGACTCTGGCGTAGACGAGATGTTCGACTATCGACCAAAGGGCGGGTGTACTGCTCATCAGTCCGCTCCGTCCTCCTTTATGGCCAGCTGTGAGACCTGGCCACTGAGAGTGGAAGACATGAAGAGGCTGACTAGCTGTCTTTGATCATAGGTGCCTGCGCTCTATTTCCCGTGTAAAGTGGCATAATAAGGTGAGCAACATGGAGGTTAGGCGTAGAGTTCTAGGTAAACAGGGGAAATCAATCGACGAAGTCGTGAAGCTACAAAGACTGAGATGGTTAGGACATGTGTTACGTATGCCAAGTCATCGCCTCCCTCGACGACCAATGTTAGCGGATATAGGGTCAGGCTGGAAAAAAGCTAGCGGCGGTCAAACAAAAACTTGGCTGCACCAGTCAATGAAATCCACGACAGTTGGTCTAAGCCACGTAGGAAGGTGTAGACTTCCAGGCTGGGGTCCTCGGGACGGTAAAAACAAATGGTTGGAAACAATTTGTGACATGGCTCAAAACCGTTCTAAGTGGCGCAGATGCATCCACTCCTTGTGACTCATGATCTTCAATGAAACTGTTTTGTATTTCTTTATTACTCCTTTGTCTCACACCTCTGCTCACTGTTTCTATTATGCTTTTCTTGTACTTTCTTCTCTTGCTTCGCGTGCTACACGGAATGTGGCGACTTGAACTTCCGCACATTTGTGCAAAGTTCTATGTCGAAAACAGACAGACAGACAGACAACAAACGATATGTTGCCTGGCCTTTGTCTTCTGTCGTTACAATATCAACCAGAAGAGCTTGCTAGCCACGCAAGTCGAGGACAGCTATTTCGCTCATTTGCGGCCGAACGTCTTACCCTGTTTGACTCAGCTTAAAAAAGCCGATTTTTGCCTATCTAATTGATTGAACTAGTCGTGTCACGTATCGATCTGATTAGCATTATTGGTTGATATGAGTAGTAAGCAATTACTCATCCCTATCAATCAATTAGTAGTATATAGTTTTCATGATAATCCAATGTCAACTAATATTGCTCAATGAAGAAGATGGTTTGTCATGCGCAGTAACACACATGTCTCAGTTATCTCAATCAATCAACTTGACAACCCCCAACGACTGACTCTCCTTTTTTATACCTAAGCCGTATCTCAATATTACTCACTGGATTATACACCACGAAGGCAACAGAAGAGATGAAATCTAATAAACACCTATGGTCAGAGATAGCTAGTCTCTGTATATGTCTTCTTCCAACAATTATACACCTTATCTGACAGTTGTACGACATTGCTGCATGGCAAGTAATCCACAACGCGAAACTCACGGAATCCTTCGAAGAAGCGAAGACGGGAGTAAGACAAGGCTGTCTACTGCTAACTCCAATGGCTTTGCTGATTGAGGGATATCAGGATGTCAAAGTAAGGCAAGCTTTTATTACTCTCAAGTCTATGTGGAGATCAACAGCACTCAACACTCATCATGAAAAATAAGATCCGGATTTTCAACTCCAATGTGAAGTCAGTGCTACTATACGCATCAGAAACTTGGTGCGTCATAAAGAACACCTCAAACTAACTACACACCTTCATCAACAGCTATCTTCACTCAATACTACCTAAGATTAGATGGGTAAAGATCAGCAACAGGGATCTGCGGCGATAAACGAAACAACCCACCAGGAACCAATTGTGCAACAAATATGCACGAAGAAATGGAGGTGGATTGGCCATGCTCTGAAAAAACCATCAAATGAGTGACATCACAAGACAGGCCCTCGAGTGGAACTCGAACGGGAAGAGGTGAGTTGGTCGTCAGTGCAAGGGTGATATGGAGGAGGTGATGTGAAGAGGAGATGAAAACATGTGGGCAGACGTGGAGAGAGGTGAAAACCTTGGCAGAGAACCGAACGCAATGGAGACGTGCAGCTGAAGCCCTATGTTCCTCTAGGAACTGAAGGAAACAATAATAATAGTATATCTTCTTACATTACAATTTTCATGTCTCATAGTTATAAAGGAGGACAAAGTAAAAACTCTACCGAGACACATTGAAGTATATACATGTATAAATCAAGCATTCATAACAAAGCAACGACTGTCTAACTGTCAGTTAGTATGAATGATGTGTAGGCGTTTGAGACTTAATAGTAGGCGGTGCTATAGACGTGTCTGAGCTCGCAGCCTTCTTTTTTAGAAATCATATATTTCAGTCAATAGACGACATTTAGGTCAATAACAATTATAGCATAAAATAGAAAAGAAAACCACCCTGTTATGACGTGTACTACTGGCAAGATTTACCAGTAGCATTATAAAGAGACGTCCATCTCATCGGCGAACAGAAATAGCAAATAGCAAAGAAATCGATTTGACATCAAAGAGAAAGCAAATGAACACAAGCAGTGTTACGGCAAAACATGAGACAAGAAAAGACAGAGAAACACAATATGAAGGAAGGGCGGAAGAGTACCATTATACGGAAGATCTCTGTTATGATGATTTTAATATTTTGTATACATAATTTCCCAATATTTGTACACCAAGATAGTAATAAATATTCCGTTACCATATCTCTTGTCTCCTCCCGCCGCCTCTAGACGATGAAGATCATATGGTCTGCTGCATCCGAAGAAGGAGGCATAAGCAGCTTCTTGCGGGACTTCGACGCTGTCACTGAATTGGTGGGCGACAAAAGATCCGACAAATATAAACGTAACTTATTACAGTAGTTTCTCTTCATGTTTTCCTCAAAAACAACAACAGACAAATATTTGGTGGTTGGTAACTAGTAGGAGAATTCAAGATGAACGTGTTTCGTCCTATTTCGAGACTCGTCCAGTTGGATGTGCCTGAAATCCTCAGATGTGTGATGATGTTCCCCCACGCATCCCAACTGAGACTCGAATCCAGCACCCATCATTTCTAACGCCAAAGAGTTATTCATTTTAACTATTTGGGCCACAAGAGCCACCACCTCTTCTTGTACAACAGATATCAGTTACTATATACATGTAGGTTCAAGTCAAAAAAGCCGCCGGAAAATTCCGGTCAAATCAATTCAACGGGGAGTAAAAAAAAGACACGATTGACTACAACAAACCTGTTGATAAGACTCATTTGTTAGCATAAAAGTGAAAGAATTCACTTCCGGTGGATCTTGATTCACCGACCATGATTCAATTGACGCACCCCAAGGAAGGCAAAAATTTGCTACTTGAAAGATATCTGGATCCAGTGGAGCCACTTAATGAATTACATTCGTCGTTGACATTTGTCGTTTTTTAACGATTTAATTTAGATTCAGGGGAGAGAGAAAAAAATAGAAAATAACAACAAAAAATGTGAGAATAGAATTAAACCACTGTGATAAAGGATAAAACTGCATGGAATAGGATAAACCTACCTGATACAAGTATGTTGGTGGTACGGCGGTAGAATGCTTGCCGACCACGCATGTCGTTCAAGGTTCGATCCCCAGCCGAGTGCGCTCCTTCACCTCACTAAGCCGGTAATAAGACCGGTGATGATGACACTTCAAACACAATTTATCATAGCGCATAATCGCAATATCAAGGTACTACTACTGTAAAGGTGCAAGACCAGAGACTTGGTAAAGGAATGTTTATTTGGAATTTAGCATCGCTATATAGTGTTCATTTGCACGGATCTTCCGAGTTGTGACACTTCCGTCCTCCATATTGTGTTTCCATGTGTTCCTTTCATGTCTCCCATGTTTCTTCGTAACTCTGAATCATTTGCTTTCTCTTCCTTCTATTCGATGTTTTTATGCCGACGAGTCCCTTTATATACTACTGATAAATCTTGTCAGTAGCACACACACTATTCATATATATATATATATATATGATTTCATCACTTCTCATCCTTTGATTTTATTGGTAGTAACAATTTGCATGGCTCTGGTATGTGAGTGCTGAGTCATTCCCCATTATAGCTGTTAGGTGTAGATTCGATGAACAAAGATATTGAGTGATAACCGTCTTCTTCCACCTGACTACAATATACCTCTGAATTTTATGGGATACATATTATTACTAGTCTTAATGGAACTGTGGGTTTATGTATCTTATGTATCTAACTCACCGACATACAACCTTTCTAAATACTTACTCTTGATACTACAACCACTACAAAAGGACACTCAAAATATTGTAAGAAATTCATATGATTTCAAATCCCAAATAGAACACCGAGAAATTGATAAAGAAGACATTATGGTAAGCTATGATATTAACTCATTATATATATACTAGTATCCCTATTACCGAAAGCCTTGATATCATTTCCAGTCTACTAGAATCAGATACAACATTATCACAAAGATGTCCACTGGACACAAGTGAAATAACTAATAGCTTAAAATTCTGTCTTGGAAGTAATTATTTTACATTTAAAGGGAGTTTATATAGACAGACAAATGTTGTTGTTATGGGTTCACCAGTGTCCCCAATAGTCGCCGACCTTTACATGAATAAATTCGAAAATAATATCTTTTCAAGCATACTCACTCCCAAAATATGGTTAAGATATGTGGATGATACTTTTGTAGTACTAAAACGAGATCTACACAATTCATTCCTGGAGAAAATAAACTGCGTATCTCCCAAAATCCAGTACACTTCGGAAGCAGAATCAGACGTCGGTGAACTACCATTTCTAGACTGCCTAGTTAAGAGAAAGGAAAACGGACATTTTAGTATATCCATATTCAGGAAGAAAACCCACTCCAACAAATATTTAGACTTCAAATCATCACACCCCATCAGCGCAAAGATTTCAATTGTTTCAAGTCTTCTTAGACGAGCACACTCCCTGATAACAGATGAGCAAGAAAAGAAGAAGAAATTTCAAACATCACTGAAACTCTCAAGCAAAACAACTACCCAACGAACTTCATCAACAAAATCAACACAGACATTAAGTATGACCGAAAATGCATTCCGAAAACATGGACTTCAACAGTCGTCATTCCATATAGAGCAGAGACGTCAGACGATATCAGAAGAGTACTCAATCAGCTCGACATTAGAGTTTTCTTCAAAACATCGGACACACTTCAAAACAACCTTGTCCATATAAAAGACCAAATCCCGAAAGATTCTCTATCTAATTGTGTCTGTAAAATAAAATGCTCGGAATGTGATGAGATCTACATCGGACAAACATCTCAAGAAATCAAAATCAGAAGAAATGAACACCGTAGAGCATCTCTTCGACCACCGAGGAATCCAGTTGAACTATAAAAACTTAAAAAATCATCAGCCATAGGTCTACATGCTATAAAATCAGGCCACAAAATTGATTTTGACAATATTGAAATAATCCAGAAAAACTTAAGGAGTCACAAAGAACGTCTTATATCAGAAGCACTTCATATCAGTTCTGTCTGTTTACGACATAGAACTTTGCACTGATGTGCGGCAGTTCAAGTCGCCACTTCATATCAAGTGGAATCCAAATTGCCTGAATGGGAATGATGGACTAAAACAGAATCTGACCTACCTACAACACCCCCCTCCCCAATGAAGTGGCAAAATCAACACAAATGTGATAAGCAAGTTCACTATGTAACCACACACACACTGCTTTTATAATTTTACACACTGTTAAAATCCAACAATCTACACTTGATTTTGTTATCTTTACCAATTCACCAACTTGACAACCAAAAATGACCTCAGACTAACGGACGATGATCAAGTTAGTAAACTTTGTTTTGATATAATAACAGATATACTAATACCTTTGATATTTAGTTTTAGTGATCTTCATTGTTATCCTGACTTTCAATATGTCGTTTTAACTTGACCTAAGTCTATTTTCTCACCCCTTAACTCTTTGTTATATATATGCTGAGATTTTGTAAATTCCGGTTTGATATGGCTACTTTGATAAAGCTATTAGCATTAAATAGCGAAACGTCAGTAAAATCAATATCGTTTTTTTTTTCATTCATTGGGAAATACAAAAAAACTTTATTATAATGAATAGCATATACCAAATACCCAAATTTTTTCAAACCGTTAAAAGTGAACTTGGTTTGGACATACATAATTTAATTCACCTCATTCGTCTTCCGTAAAAGGTAGGCGGCTTATTTAAGTGTTAACAAACGGAGCAAACTGTCTAAGCAGTACATCGGAAATCCGAAATGATGAAACAGACAGGAAAAAACTATTGGTGCTAAATAACCACCCCCATAAAATGTCATTAAGAGAATCAAAAAAGATGAGAAGAAGCGGAAAATAGTAGTGAAACCAACTATCAATCATAAACATAAATAAGAAAGAATTTAAGACGTCTACAGTTTTAGCGTATATGGAAGCAATAGATTTTAAAACCTAGATAGGATTCTTCCTGACGCCGATATCAGAATGGTGATGAAGCCTACGAACTCATCCAAGAACAAATTCTATGGACTAAGGGACACCCTTGACACGACTAGACAAAATAAAGTAATCTAAGAAATAGCTTGCAACGACTGTGAGGTCGACTACATAAGTCATTCAGACCAATAAATCGGGAGTGGTCAGATTATTGGAAGATAGGAATTTAGAAAATTTAACGATCGCCGTCACGAAGACGAAGAGTTTAAAGAAGTGTTCAGCAATCGTAATGGTCTTTCCATATCTTGCTTTTTGATATTGTGAGTGAAATGAGAATGTAGGTCACTGCAGGATTCAAACGAGTGATGAAACGATGACCACTTGAGTCTAGTAGATCGATCACCTGACAAACAGACATATTAGTAATTTGCAAAAGCTGCTGGATCGAATCTTTCTAGACGACATCGCCCAAAAGCGTACATCCATCTATCCATAAGAGTCTGCCAACAATATATAACTATTACGATAAACAGTGTCACCATCAATTCATCAATTCAACCAATATAAATGTTTATGAATTTGTTTATAGAGGTTGATATCAGTTAGATAAGCATTGGAAACCAGCAGGGAGCACTGGACAGCTAACAAGTAACTGCTGAAAACTAACTTAATACTCGCTAGTGACTGGTTACAGGACGAAATCTCCCGAAGTTCTATTGAGAAGTCGTGACAGGTGGGATCCGCCCGGAGGGGAGTGAAGACATACACTCTCCCATGAGATTGGCTGGTGCCAGTTGCGCTAGAATTCATGAAGCATTTAGTCAGATCCCAGTGACTGAATGGTCTAACAGATCACTAGCCTTGTGTAACTGCAAGGTTCTGGTGGATGCAGACCCGGTGGATGTCTTTGTTGACATTATAACCACCACCTCCGGGGTTTCGAACTAAGAACCTTTCAGCTGCAGGGCAAGCTCATAGCCCATTCAGCCATTGGGACTGGACGTGAATTTCGGGCAGATATGAAATAATGTATAACTGAGATTTTTTCTTAAAAACTACACTATTAAAGAAATAAGCAAATAATTCTTTTTTCTAATAATATAATAAACTAATGGAATTCTTGATGTAATTTAACTTACTCATTAATCAACACATCAGGTGATGATTAAACGATCATATGACTAATTGCAAAAAGTTGAAATGATTAATTAACCTACCACCCGCCCCTTTTACACTGCCCACCTCTTCAGTGCTTTAAATTGCACAAATAAGAATAAGAAAAGTTAGGCAGAGGGAGACAAAGTGGAGGGGAGGGTGTTAGATGGTGTTATGATTAGGAAAGCGCGTAGGACCACCAAGTTGCAATACACGAAATATTATCTGTTAGTAGAGAAGTAATCACATTGTATGTCATACTCAAAACCTGATTAGCCTTCTTTACATTATAACTGATTAGTGAAAAAGTAATCGAAAGGAATCAATTACTATTATTATTCCCTTGGGTTTGTGATTTGTCACACCTAATAAAACTCTACTGCCCCCCCCCCAAGTGCCAAGAAAGCACATTGCACTAATCAAGGGATTCTATTCAAACTCACGTAGCCGTGTAAGGGCTTATGGGGAATTGTCGTCTGAATTGATAACAACCAGTGGTGTCCGACAGGGATGTCCACTTTCCCCATTTCTGTTTAACTTCATCATAGATATGCTAATGAAAGTATCCTTAACTGAACGTAACGACTTAGGAATCGACTTGTTACCAGGGAATAGTCTTATGGACTTAGAATATGCAGATGGCATAGACCTGTTAGGGGAGGGTGCTGACAAAATAAAGAGTTTTCTGAACACCTTGAGCAGCAATCTTCGTATGTTTGGCATGCGATTCGCCCCTGTAAAATGTAAGACGATGAGGCTACAGGACTGGACTACATCAACTCCTAGCTTAGTGATAGGGAGTGAAGTGATAGAACATGTTGACCACTTCACCTATTTGGGAAGTTCTATCAGCACCAACGGACTGATTGGAGACGAAATCTCACCACAGATCCAAAAAGCTCTAGCTGCTTTCGCTGACTTACACCATCTCTGGCGTAGGCGTGACATCCCGCTATCAACCAAGGGACGTGTGTACTGCTCAGCTGCAGTTCGCTCCGTCCTTCTCTATGGCTCTGAAACATGGCCAATACTGGTTGAAGATATGAAAAGGTTGACTGTTTTTGACCATAGATGTCTACGATCTCTTTCTCACGTTAGGTGGTAAAATAAGGTAAGTAATGTTGACGTTAGACGTAGAGTGTTCGGCAAAGAGGGAAAATCAATCGACGAGGCTATAAAGTTACATAGATGGCGTAGAGATGGCTAGGTCACGTGGTGCGCATATCTAACCATCGCCTCCCCCGACGGGCATTACTAGCTGATATAGGTGTAGGTTGGAAAAGAGTAAGTGGTGGCCAGAGCAAAACATGGCCTCATCAATCCATGAAATCCTTGACAGTTAAACTGAGTCGGTCAGGTAGGGAGATGGAGACTTCCGGGTTGGGGCCCTCGGGACTGACTTTAACAATAGGTGACATGGCTCAAAATCGTTGTCAATGGCCAGCGCAGATGTATTCAGTCTCTATAATCTTTCATATTGCTATCTACCATTACCCATTCTGTTCCACTCTTATACTTGCGAAACTCTGTTAACTCTCTCCACTCATCTTGTTGTCTACCTTTGTGTGCTATTTGGAATGTGGCAACTCGAACTGGTGCACTTCGGCGCCAAGTTCTATGTTGAATCCAGACAGACAGAGACAGACTATCCCCCCCCACACTTCTGTGTATTATCTCTCTTTACTCTCGTCTCTTGCTTTTTGTGTTACATGGAGAGTGACAAGTTGAACTACTACACATTTGTACAAAAGGTCTATGTTGTAGCCAGTCAGTCAGTCAGTTATATTCGTTAACCAATTTGTACACGGAAGTCAACATCAGACTGGGATACTGTTTCAGAGTCTGCAGAAATACAATGACGCATTTTTTTATCTTCAAACACAATACAGCACACCATTATTAATTTTATTCGTTGTTTGCGTTCTAACTGGAGCATGGGGCTTAACACAGCTGCATATATATCTCCACTGCAATCATTTATCTGTCATCATTGTTTTAACTGACCCCATGATCACCCCCCCCAAGCTTTCTTTTCCTCTCTATGTGATGATCTCCTCCACCACAGTCACCACCCACAGTCACGCAACTGGTGAAAATTCACACTACGAACAGTTACAATGAAGCAAACCCAGTCATTTTCAAGAGAGTGCGCTGCATCTATACAGCACACTACATGACTACATTTCAAAATGTCATATGAAAAAGAGAAGACATTCAGCTGAACGTCTTCTCTTTTTTATATGACTAAATGGGGATTTTCAAGATTTCAAAATGTACCAACCAGTATGAACGGGAGAAATTTGAAGGGATTGAAGAAGCCAGATAGTCCTTCAGAATTATACTGACACCAGTTTGTAAATCTAATGCACTAAGTATGCACAAAAAGATTCAGATTTTTAACATTAATGTCAAGTTGAGAGATTTTACGCAAGCATCATCAAAAAGGATTCCAAACAGGCGACTGAAGACTTTCATCAACTACTACCCATTTCTCTGCATACTGAAGATCGGATAACCGATCAGAAAGGATAAGCGGCAAAGAACTCTGCCAGCGACCTAGAAGAAATGAAGAAATGGACCAGACATATGCTGAGGAGAAGGTTGAGTGACATCAAACGCCAGGTAGACTCTCGAGTAGAACCCAAACGGGCTTCCGAGAGTAACATGGAGGAAATCGTATAGGGAGGACTGAAGAGAAGATAATGAAATAAAGATCTGCTACTAGAACCCTGTTCCACTGGGAACCTAAGGAAATGATAACGCACATCCCTGTATGAGGGTTAATTATACCATTCAAATTAAAAGAGGAGTCTTCAAACACGACTCATCAGTACACTCATAAATTAAAGAGCCGAATAACTCTATAGAATGTACCCAGTTGCTCAGAAAGAGGAAAAAGTGTTAAACATACCTGGTGGTGAATCTGTAGCAGCTGAGCTGTTATTATTATTATTATCCGGTGCCTCATTATTCACCTGGTCACAGCACTGGTCGGGCTTACTCAATGAGGGCAGAGAACACTTTGAAGTTTCTTCTTCATATCTTTTATCCAAATCAGTAAAATCATAATCCATAGTGTTTGGTACACGATACCAATATAATACTTCAGGTTCATAAGAGATAATGCATTGTTTTACAAGTGATTTTCGATAACATATATAAGCTTTTAGTCTAAACTAAAAATTGAAAAAGAAATGACAAGGAATCGAAAGGTTGGGATGTTAATTATCTATAATAATAATAATAACAGTAACAATAATATTCAAGTGTTGCTTTGTAGGGATTTGATTGGTTTCAGCATTTCACCATGAACTGAAATCTCGGTTAGAGGACCATTAGAAAACCAACAAGGGAGTACTGGACAGCAGGCTGTTTCGTCCTAGTTTGTGACTTTTCACCGGTACGCATCCACCACAGGAGTTGCAAACCCAGAACCTTCTGGTCACAAGGCTAACAAGCTCGTAGACCATTAAGCAACTGGGACCTCACCCAGTGGCCAGCCCCTGAATTCGAACTTCTGCCGATTCACGATATGGACTATTCGATTGGGTCTCAGTGGCCTAATGATCTATGAGCTTGCTAGCCTTGTAACCGGAAGGTTCTGTGTTTGAACCGCAGCGGGTTCGTACTGCTGAAAAGCCACAAACTACGACGAGACAGCTGTCCGGTGCTTCCTGCTGGTTTCCAATGTTTTTCTAACTGATGTCAGTTTATGATGAAATCCCTGTAATAATATTGTTTCCAGTTTGATCACGGATTAATGTCAGCTTAAGAACCACGGAAAACCAGCTGTTTCGTCTCAGCTTGGGACTCCTCAGAGGTATGAAGCCAGGACCTTCCGGTTACAAGACGAGCTCCTATCCGAGACTGTGCAACTAGACATACAAATCCTGAAACTTCTACAGTATGAAAAACAGGTTTCATTGATGATAGAATCGAAACGAATATCACACAAGATTTTATTCTACTCGACACTACAACAACAATACTGTTAACAAATCAGGTTAGACTGATATTAATTTGAGGACTACTGAAAGGTCAGAGACTAGTGGACAACTGTTTCAACCCTAAGTCTGAGTCACTACATTAATCTACATCCAACACCTCACCAGAGGTCGAATACACTACCTGAAGGTTATGAGGCTATCTCCTTTGACTATTCAGTCACTGGGGTGAGACTCAATGACCCATGAATTCTAATTTCTGTCGATTCACGATAATATATATATATATATATATATATATATATATATATATATATGCATATGCATATATATCAACCGCTAGTCAGCCAACTCATGGTCAAAACTGTAATCAATCAAATCCCTGCAAACCAAAACCTGATAATTAATCCGATACTCACTAGTGACTGGCTCTATGCAGGAAGTTACCTGGAGTTCTGGTGAAAAGTCGTAACCAGCAGGATCCACCAAGTCAGGCAAGAGGACAGTTACTCGCCATTGACATTGGCTGGCAGTTGCGCCATATATACATGGTGAACAGGCAAAAGTTAGAATTCATGGGCTATCGGATAGTCCCTTTGTAGTTGAATGGTCTATGAACTCGCTAGCCTTGTAACCGGAAGGTTCTCGGTTCGAACCCCTGTGGTGGGTGCCTACTCGTGAAGAGTCCCAAACTGGGACGAAATGGCTGGGTGTCCAGTAGTCTCTTGCTGGTTTTCTAATTGTTCTCTAACTGATGTCAACTCGTGAACAAACACGTATAATATAACTATCTATCTTTACTTGATGTTAGATGGTTGGAGACAATCGGCAGGAAGTTCTGCCTAACCTAGGTTTTGTTCGTGAGTACTGGCACCAGTCAACAGGGTGGGATTATATCAGATTACAACACATAAAGATGTGCTTTAAGAAAATTACAAAAACGCACAAAAAAGATGTTTAGTTCTAATTGTCAGACTGTTGACACTTAATGCACATACAATCCACAGTTAAAACTAAAAATAATAATGATAATGTAATTCAAGATAACACACACACACACAAAACTTACTGAACTTATACATATCGGTTCTGTAACTTGTCGATAGGCAGGTGGACAAGTTTCTTGTTTCCCTGGAATTATAATGCATAGATCCGTTACAGCCAGGGAATCAATACTATTCTCTGGATTACCACGTAGATATGATAGAAATAAACGATTTGTTAGCGTACTAAGCATATTAGCATCACGACCACCAATAGTCTTTGATAAAACTACTGTATTTTTCTTTGGGCACTGTTTGTCTCCTAAAGTACTACCATAACACATTAACAGAAATACAGAAAAATAGTATTCATAATAACGAATGATAACTAAGACTGATTACAAATAAAGATTAAAAGTACAATAAAAAATAGATAGGAAGTTAAGAAGTTGACAGCCTGCTAAAACCTCAGGCTACCGAAAAAACCTCCATCATTGCATATTGCATATAATTTCTCTTATTCACTTTGTTTTAATATGGAAAGATATGACCTCTAATAGTATTGTTTACTCGGGCTAGTATTTAAAATCTTTACAACCTACTGATTCACAAGTTTCTACTAGTTTCTACGATGGAAGCTAATCCAAATACATGAGATGACCGTTCCTCAGTGGTGTCATCGGTTCAAAAACAGGTACACCCGAGTTTTTTTATAACTGGCATTCAACAAAATGTCATCGTGTATCTCTCCAAAGAAACAGTGAAGAGATATCATCATAATGGATTGATGTGCAATGCTTCAGGTCAGGTAGAACTGTGTCACACGATCTACTTTCAATCATTTTTTTATTTGAAAATAATGGACGAAGAGAAAATATCATGCAATAAACTCTACTGAAAATTCTGGACATTATATAAATATTATTTAGAATAAAGCTATTATTATTAAAATCTGATTATTAGATGTCCCATTTTCTTCATGTTCAAATGCGAAGAAATGTTGATGATTTCTTACATGGCGAGTACAGTTTAGTGATATCGAAAAGCCCATCCCTCTAGGCAGAAACAGGAATCTCATCCGTTCTCCTTCCTCGAAGATAAGGAAAACATGCGCGGAGGAATCTGTTGACGAAGAGTTACAAAATCTCCGAAGAATCTTAGTGGAAAATGTTTCCCAACCCGCTCCATCGCGACTTAGACTCATAAACAAGAACCTGGAACCAAACCAAAGAAAGCTTATGAGCCCCCGAAAAGATTCTGCCGATAAATCTTAAAAGTTATTCTGAGGTGGAAATTCTCGGTAAACGACTTTTAAAATCTCTCGGTAAAACGTAGGTCACTGCTAGCCTACGAGTGACACTTCCTCCCAAGAAAACATTGCGCCAGTACACGAAAGACAAGCTATCGTATTAGAAGACATCAACATGCAGATACTAGTTGACTAGTACCTGTGGAGCTGACTACATTTACTGTACAATACGTCCTCTTATGAAACCTGCTCGAGAACACTATCCAAACCGGTTAACAAAGGAAGAACGTAAGTGTAACAGAACATCTGGTTCACACAGGACACTTAGGTCCATTTGAGAAAAAATAATGTAAGAAACGAAACGAAGCAGTTTTTGTTAGAGTCAGAAATTTATTTTTATTTTTGATTACAACTTGATTCTACACCGTATTTTTGGTACAAGTATGGAATTTTCAGCATGGATATCGGTAGCCCAAATCTCGAAAGCCGACCATAGATATCAGATGTGCGCCGGTGTGGGCTTCAACCCCGGACCATGTGCATGATCGGCGACCGGATAAATAAAAATTTCGCCAAATACCCAAATTTAATCAAACTGATTAGACAACAAAGAGTAAATGTAAGCCTCTTGATTGATATTCAATGCACAACAAATCAGGTTATTTTTAACTCTACTGATATCTGATCAATCACACTGTCTCACGAGTCATAAAATCAACCTTTCATCAGCTTACGGTATTACCAGACTTTCTGTACAATTTTCACTACTCTACTTAAAACTGTCTACAAAAGTTCAACTTATCTGCAACGTCTTCAGTCTCTAAACAGTCGTTTTATGTGATAATTATAACACAACTTTCCTGATAATATATGCATCATCAAAGTTTCTCATAACGTTTATACTTGTATGAAACCTGGTAGGAAAGTAGGTGTGAGTAGAAGTTTGAAGCGCTTCAGCACTGATCTACATTGCAACTTGGGAAACTGCATGGAAGATTCCTTTTCCATTTGCTAGCTCAAAGAGTATGTTCCATTTCTGCCTACTTCGATAAAAATCTGTAGTATGCATGTCTGGATTAGTTGGTCTTCAACAACTGATGTCAATGCTACAAAGAATGTTGTGGTCGAAATCCTCTAGTTTTCTCATACACACATCCTATGCCATGACATACCCTTTGAACGGTGGTGTCTTCAAGTCATCCACTTTTAAAGGTCGCCTCTTACTCAAGTTCTTCCTAGAAGCGTTCGAAAGACATTTTTACCCAAACGAACTTGCGGTGTACTTCAAACCGTCTGAAGGAAGTACAATAATCTTGAAATCACTACACATTTCACCTCTAGAGCATGTTAGTATAAAGACGAATATTACAAGACAATGGTAATTCGCATTCAGATACGAGACATATAATATCAGATGTAAAATATCAACTGGGCGAAGAAAAAACACAAAAACAAGCTATTAGTATCCTTAACACTTACTCGATATCCTTAATGTATGGTAGGTCACGCCCTCTTCGATAACAGATGCAAGCCTCTTCGCCAAAGTTAAGCATAATATTAGCCTTGTGTTTTCCAGAGACACTGTATTTAATGCGTGTATATCCTTCAGGAACTTCCTCTTTCTCTTTTAAACTAACGATCTACGAAAAAAATTGAATTGATGGGTAATTTGTATAAACTTTACCTTAATATCGATAATCGGTTCCGGAAATCTGGTGAAGTCAATTGACACCTCAGGAGCAATAATTTCCTCGGTGTGGGTGATAATCTGAGAAATAAATTAAGCCACAGTTTTGTGTAACTAACCTTTGAAACATCATAAGTCTTGGGATCTTTCGGCAAACCGCAGATAACAAAGTATTCTGCGAGACGTTTCGGCAAGCTTTTAACATCCATGATAGTGAAATACTCTAATTTATTTTAATTCACATGAACTTTCAATTCCTGTTGTTCAAAATCCAACATGATATTGACACCAACAAGAGCTACGCTACATTCAAAATTCCCACCATAACATCCAGTCCAATATAATCATTCTCCATCATCAAACAAATCCTCGGCACTTACTTTCCGCTGTCGATGATCGTCTTTCAGCTTCACACGGCTCACAAAGCTATAAGTCAAAAATCTGTCCCAGAGTAGTACTATGAATGATAATAATTTAAGCAGCATTTTAATAAGTAAAGATGACTTTTTATCTCTGGAAAACACTGGATTTGTTCCTTTCTACTGCAGGATGTAGTCAGGATGTGGAACCTTCTGCTTGGAGTACCTCCACATAGACAGCCCCTTTCGCGTTGGTTATCTATGAGATAATTTGCTTCAGTTATTTCATCGATTGCATTTGTGGAAGAATATTTCCTTAGGTTCCTTATAAAATTCCACATCTAATCCCTTGTCAGGCCTAACAAAAGCCCCATCACTGTCATTGATGAGGGCACATACTCTATACAGACCTACGTCTGGGCTGCGCAGGTGACAAATCTTTCCTGCTGGGAAACGGTGCCATTTTTGACAAGATAATTCCAAATTAACCACAGTAATATTGGAAACATTTTTTCGATTCATCTAGCTAGGTGGAATGATATAAATTCATGATAGAGTAGATTTGCACCACAAAATAGCAACAGCTGATGTTATTCATCAGACACTAACCGATAGCAACACTCGGGCTTGGCCAACAGCAGTAGGATCCAGTAGGTTTACATCCAGCTGAATTATCAAAACGCCGTGTTGTTCCATTGATTTCCTTGATTCTCTGAAACTTGACCAGCCCTACCTAGGATGGTGCTCACTATCATCAAATCAATTAACAGTTTTTGTCTAAACCTTAGGTAATAATGGCGAAAAATGTATAGGAAACTGGATTAGCCGAAGACCGTGATCTAAAAGGAAACATATATTCTAGCTAATGATTTGCCACTATCAATGGAAAAGCTAAATGACTCATCTTGGAAAAAGGTCGAATAAAAGCTTCAAAAGTGCGTTTATTGCATGGGACAAAAGAGGACTAAATTGGCTGCTGATCTCATTAAGATGTAGAATCGTCAATACAGAATTACAAACAATTTATATAACAGACTGATTACCAATCGTCCACTTATTTTACTATTGATTCGTTCTCTTTGAATATAAATGTCTTCTTTGACGAGATAGAGGTGGCATGACTGTCTTTTACTTTTCCATTTTATCCTACTCTTTCGAAGCGGGGCATAGGGCTTCAAGCGTCTGCTTCGAAGTTTCACCAACAGGGGTGCTTTAAAGGGATGGGGTTGTTGATCTCATGTCCAGCCTTCTTTCTTTGTCAGCCTTACTACCTCTCAGGTGAAGTTCAGGACTGCGTCGTCTGGGGTCAACGAGCGTGGTATGCGAGTATTCTACCCCTGAACTACTAACGCGCAAACACTATCGGTAAGACCTCATTCAGTCCAATGGATAGCATCTAAACGTCAATTTCTCCGAAGGAATAGGAACTCTGAGTGGATCATCCACATAACGGAAGATATCACTTCTTGCGGGACATTTTCGCAGGCACTGGCTAATGTTAGCCAAGCATTATACAACGATATTGATGCTGACACTGAAATGGTGGACATAGATGAGTCAACGGGAAATAATGTTGAAATACATCGTTTTCACACTGACGCAAAAGTCCAGACACCGAAACCATCAAAACCTATCCCACTGGTGGTCCAACCATTGCCTTATAAGTCAGTTACTCCTCAGTCTGACAATCCACACTCTGTGAAGCACCAGTCGAATGTAGCCACCCAAGTTGGCAAGTTTTCTAGGCGTTATGACAAACGTCTCATTTCCATTAAGAAAACTAAAGCTCATGAGATGTCCAAGCCACAGAAACCCTACATAGCATGTGCTGGCTGTCCTGTTAGCCATCATTAGCCAGTTGATCATAAGATTAGGGAAAAAGAAGTAAATAAATTAAATACTAAACCCGGAGCAAGAAAGCCCTTTGATATGAAAAAGGCGAAAGCACCTCTAGGCCTTCTTTCTAAGAGAAAGTCAAATATGGTAGACGAATTTCCTAGGGGTAGGCCTAATTAGTGTCAAGTGGAAAGCCAATTTTATCGAATCCCTAATTTTAGGCAAACAGCACAGCAAGGTAGTAGGTATTGTTCTGCACATCCACTACGTAAATCCCTTGTCAACCAGCCCACTTCTAATATTCTGTCAACTGAAAGTTATAGAAAATACCCCAAACATCGGCCACAGACCACATTTAGCAAGCCAACAGAACCCGTTCATATGTCGTATGTGTCTAGTGGGGAGCATGTGCCGATTTCTGCACAAAACTTGCCATGGTCTGATGAATACCAGAAACAGATACCAACAATTCATTCTTATATTGGCAACAAATTACCGAATACACATATCGGTTATACCTTAGGGCAGGATTTTCACCAGCGTCGGTTAACAGAAACACCTGGAATCATGCATATAGCCCGCATGATATCGGATCAATTCCTTGCTGGCATAGCGAACAGTCTACAGCTAGGGCAAGGCATATTTCCCGGGACATAGCTTACACAGTGTCGACACCAAACGCGGATATTAATATCTCTAAAATATTAATATCTGACTATCACACAGGTGTCTCTCACTGCATACCATATCCAAACGTAAGCCCATCCCTGACTACCACCTCAAAAATCTACCTGAAGTCTTCCTACGATCCAAAGATATTGGTATATGAGTCTGATAACATGTATATAGAGGATACTCACGGATTATTTTACCAAGATGTTGCCAGCTCACTGAAACCACATAGCCAGTGTTTATCTATTATCCTAGTAAATACGAGATCAGTTCTAAGCAAACACTTAGCACTAAGTACAATAGCTTCTATATGCAAACCGTCATTGATAATGATCACCGAAGCCTGGTGCACAAGTGAAATCTCCAATGACAGCCTAAGGATTGAGAAATACAACCTTTTTCGAGGGGACAGAAGGACAGGTCGTGGGGGTGGAACACTAATTTACTGTGAACAATCCATGTGTGCAACCCAGTGTAGTAACCCAATTCTGTCACAACTCAATGACTCAATCTGGGTTAAAATAAAAGTTGTCAGAAGTAAACCTATACTTGTGGGTTGTGTGTACCGGCCCCCTTCATCCAGCAGGGAATATGATAATATGCTTAGCAATATCTTTAATGTTACAGCCAATCTTCCCTTCAGGTATAAAATTATCGGAGGCGATTTCAACTTGCCAGAAGTATCATGGTCTTCACTCCGAGGACCCCAAAGGTATGATAATCTCATAAATTCCATCATCACAGGAGGGTGGACACAACACATAAATTTATCCACTAGATCCGCAAATATCCTAGACCTTATTTTCACGAACAATATAACGCCATCTACAGTACATGTGGGACAGGAATTTCCAGGTAGTGACCATAGAATAGTAGTTTGTTCTTTTGACATCTTTCCTGAAACAAAACGCAGAGATGAAGCTGGCCAGATACATATGAGATTGTACACACATGCTGACTGGGACTTGTATCAGCACCTAATTAGATGTTCTAATTGGGACTCGTACTTTTCGAACCAGTCCTTAGATGCAATTCTTAACAACTTCAATCAGAATATTAATTCAATTCACGATGTGATTGCACCCAAGAAGATTCTTAGCTTCAGATTCCCCAAAGTGATTATATTCCGACATCGTTTTGAAGAAGTCTACGAAAGCACTCAATAAAATACTACAGATATCATGTGTCAATCACGTCTCATAAACCGTTAATGCCCAGCTCTCGCTACGCTCGGGCCCACGGTGTTCCTTGAAGTTTTCAGAAACGCTTAGTTATAACGGACGAAAAAACCAAAACACCGATCTGCCGCTTGATATTTCTTTATTGTTACACCAACATATAAAAGGAATAAGTGAACTAAGGTCTGAAAACAAATATTACAATAATAAATCATTGTATTACTTCTGACGATGTTTCACTCTTCTTTCTGAACAGCGACCGATGAGACGATGACTGTCGTATTGATGCCTCCGCGAAAATCGGGGAAGTTGATTTTGAGCAAACAACCAAGAATTGATCGTTTAATCTTCAACTCCATTGACACTCCCCGGCAAAAAGGGATCCAACCCTTTTTTCCTTCACGACCAATGCACGTTGACTTGGATGCCATTGCGAGAACCTGGGTCACACGGACAGAGCTGAAATGGAAAACAAACAGAAAAGCCAACGCACCACAAGCATACCCACAGCACAATCTCACACATCGCTGACGACCTGCGCCTCCAGACAGAGACCTCCTCTTGACATCTTCCAACACAATCGCCACTTACTAGAATGACTCTTGCAGAATGCAACGTGACCATAGCACCAACTCATGATACTCTACGCACATCGTCTTATCTACTCACTACCAACGACCACTGCAATCGCTTGTCACTCATTCTGCCTCAGTTCTAGTAGCGGTGACGCATGCGAGCCTCAGTCGTTTACACTCTTTCTCCCCGGCGTGTCGGACCGCAGCTAACAATTATCTCCGTGTGCATTTCATTCTCAGCAATAGCCTAGCCTCCCCGGCGTATACGACCCATCTGCTGTCCTTAACATCAACCAATTCATTCATGGATGTAGAAGACTCGAAACAACTTCAGAAGTAATCACGACGAAAATTTTAACAAAATTACGCAATAACAACAAGATACGAAAACAACGAGTAAACACAATGAATCCAAAAACACCAATTGATATGACACACCACACATGTATACAAACAGTACACACTAATTCGTAGTTCATGTCTTGATGGAATTCCTTTGAAGAATCGTAGGGCTAACACCAGTACGCCTACAACCCTTCTCAGGTTGACGATTGTAGGTTGTTGAATGTCCGGACACAAACAAGATTATTCAACAATTACAATAATTGGGACTCACACAACTATTTAACACAAACATATGTACAATGAACACGTCAAAAATGGTGGATTCTGGCACGACAAACTACCCTTGAAGAACTGTAGGACTTACAGAAGT